TAACAATAACTTGAGGCTAGGTTATATAAAATTATATTAAATAATTTAATAAATAATAAAATATCAATAATAAAAATAAAACTAACTTATTTCTTTTTTGTTTTTTTTTATTTTGTAACAAGCCGGTTGTTGGTAAAGTTGATACAGGTGATATTAATATAGACGATGCTAATTTAGAAAATGCTAATATGAAAGAAGCCTCTGCAGTCAAAGCTACTGAAATCAAAGCTGATATAAATGATTTTGAAGCTGGTGTAGATAGGTTTGGTTTGGATGAAGTTGATGTTCTGTGTTTATTAGATATTATACCTTGGTCATTTAATTGTTTAGGGCATTTCAAAATGTTAAAATTTAAAAAAATATTTGTATTAGTTTTCTTTTCTTTTTTCTTATATATTGTATTTCTAGTTTTAAACAATAAAAGTTATAAAAAAAACTTCTTTATTTATATAAAATTTACCTTTGTAAGTAATAAGAACTATGTAGTAATATTAGTATTTAAATTGCATGAATTATATGACATATAATAATAGATATATTAACTGATATATTAAATGATCAAATTGATAATAACATCATTCTACAATAGAGATTCGTTAGTGCAAATGAAAACTTGTATAAAATTAAGTAAATAATTTAAAATTTTACTTACTATGAACAATTACTTCATGATATCATATTTCATTACTAGTCAAAATGTAATATATCTGGATTAATTAATACTATATAGTCTTTAGAACTGTCTTTATATTATAATGATCTTTGCTATAAAAATATGACAGCATTGTTATCAGCTCCAAGACGTATAAGCAATTACAAATATCAAGAATAATGAGTAATATGAAATATGACTAATGTATACAAAAAGATATAGATTAATATTTATTCAATTACATATTAATAGAATTATAATTTATAGTATTAAAATTTATTATATTGTATTAGATAAAATAATTTAAATTTATTCTCTGGAAAAAGATCAACTATATTGATATTTGTAAATCTATATTAACTTATATCTAATCAATAAAAACTCATACCTTTGCCTACTTTTTTCCCAATATAGTAGTTTACATTTTTATCAACTTTAGTTCAATTGACTTTTGTAAAAATCATTATAATTTGCAATTGTTTTTGAACAAATTAATTTGTTAAATGATAGAACTTGCATCTGTATATTAAATATTGGAATATAATTTTCTTAAAATATTTTATACTATTAAACCAGTATTTTTTTTGTTTAACAAAAATAGTATTGTGATTATATTAGTTTTATAATAATTAATACATAATAATGTATATTAAATTAAAATTATAATTAGAATCATATTTAACTCTAAGTTATTACAAATATTACATACAGATACCTTTTTTTAAAACAATGAAGTTTCAATATACAAAGTGTGAAAGGATATTTTCTCGTAGAGCTTTACTTCAAAACTATATGAAAGTTCATAATAATACTATTGAAAACTTCTATAAGAAATTGTCGAAGAAAGAGAAAGAGAACAGAGAATTCAAATAGAACAAGGATACTAGCAAAATAAAGACCAGCTAGCAATAGAAATAGAAAACGAACAACTTGGAGATGATAAAGGTATTGGAGATGACGAAGGTGTTGAAGACAATGAAGATATTGAAAATGATGAAGGTATTGGAGATGACGAAGATATTGAAAACAATGAAGGTATTGAAGACAACGAAGATATTGAAAACGATGATGATGTTAGAGACGATGAAGGTGTTGAAGATAACAAAGGTGTCAAAAACAATGATAAAACAAGAATAGATAATCAACTTGGTAATAAAAATAACTATCTCTTAAATTGTAATACAGGCAAATTTGTCTGCATTTATTTTTTTTAACTCTAATTTTTTAATAAAATCTTAAATATTAATTTTAACAATATACTTTCTAAGTAAAATATATTTTTAAAGATCTACTTTAAGTAGAGACAAAATGGGAGTTCTGGCACAATTTTTGTTACCGATAACGAT